GAGAGCTCTACATAAACTGTAGTGTGGGGATAACTGAAAAGATGACACAAATACCAGAAAGTGTGATATTGGTTCCAAGTAGAGCTTATTCTATTAATTCCTGTCTCCAAATATGGAACTTCCAATAGTGACTCGCTATCAACAATGAAATTTATTTGAGACTGTAAAAGGGGTCAGTATTAAAGTTTTTGACTAGTCTAGAATCTGTTGCACTTGTCATTTAACACAAAAAGACAAATATATCATGTCACATGAACTTTTTAATGCCGTTTAGCCATCTGCATTCTTTGTTCTACTCTTCTAAAAGCCTCAGGTCTGGTGAGAAATGCAATAAATGCAAAGGCCTTTCACAGCTGCCATTTTATGTCATTCCAACAGACAAATTTATGGCAGTTAGATCAAAATCCAGTATCTCTGTTCTGGAAATTAAGTTCAAATACATTTGAAAGTGCTCGTATTGTATAGTTGCTGATAGTGCTTCGAGACAAGTGATAATGCGGTACAAATTCAGAAAGGACCTGCAGAAAGTTCCCTCCTGGTGCTGAGCTCAGATAAAGAGGCAGGTAGACAGTGCAGTAAAATCTGAGCAATACAAGCATTAATATTCTGGGGTCAGTTAATGTCATTTCATCTGATATACTCTGGTTTATGTAGCATCATTTTACAGTGTTAAGAGCAATTTGGAGGTTTTCTATTGTCAGTCCGTCCAGTCTGAATTTGCTTATGCATCTTTTCGACTGAATATGATGTTTTAAATAGCAAATTAGTTCAACCATCCAAAGGAGCTCACCCTGTTATGTTACATGAAGAACGAGCTGATGGTGAAAAATTGACAGGGCAATAGGGTACAGTCTGTTTAAGAAGCTTTAACCTGAGGCTGATAAACCAGTATGGAAGTCTGAATTGGGCAATCTTTTCCTATCTTACCTGTCTGTATTTCCATAGCTATGCAGTCATGGCAGTGCTGCTGCCAGTGTGGATGAGAATAATGAGAGTTTTATTATTCCAAATACTAAGTCATGAATCTTATGATTTCTTCTCTTCCTGTCTTCCTCTGCTAAAATACGAAATTTAGAAGAAAACATAATACATCTGAAGTTCTTAAAGAAGCATAATTTATCTGAGAAGATTTGGTTTTTATCATTTTCTCTCTGGTTTATGAGCCTTTAGGTTATAACAGTTACATTACAAAAAACGATTTCCCCAGAGCTGCTTGTCTGTTTGCTATTGAGTACATGCTTTTGTTTGCCTCTCTAGCACTGTTATGCATAGTGGGGAAACTATTCACAGAACTCAATATAACCTACATGCAAACCTAAATGCAAACAGATCTGGACTGGGAGACAAATCCAGCTCTGCTCATTTTATATGCAAATAACAACCCATGCAATGCAGAAAAGAATACAAGGCAATGTCTCTTTTA